GTACTAAGGGACGATGGTCAAGGAACTAGTTACCTGAAGAAAATAGAAAGGACAAGAAAGAATAAAGAAACAGAGGAGCCAAGATAAACAGAAAATAATCTATTTGCAAAACCAAAAGGGAAGAGATAATCAGAATTATGAAGAAACAATAGTGAATAAGGTAATAAAAATAGATACCAAATAAATATAGAAATATATTAGTATAAAACAAATGAAAGTAGATATGTAAATATAGGTATAGTTAGAGATGTAAGTGAATTAACAATAAAAAGATAATACGAAAGAAGCGAAAAATGGATGAAAGTGTGAGGGAAAGAACTATAAAAGATGAAAAAAGAAACAGGAATGTATAACACACAATATAGGTTTAGTTGTGTTATAGAATACGGATTACGTTCTTAAAATACTTTGAAATTGATCAGTTGTTATAAAACTCCATTTAATTTTACATAATTTTGTTAATCAAAATAAGTAATTATTTTGAATCTAATTAGTATTTAACTATTTAAATGACTATTCCAACCTATGTGTAATCATAGTTACTAAAGACTCTTCGAGTTTATAATAATAAGAAGAATATGGATTCAGTTATAAGAGAAATTATCGGAAGACCGTTCGAAGCCAAAAGACATGAACTGCAAATGAATAAAATGTAATAAATTCTAAAGCAAAAGATAGTAATCGACACTAGTCGAACACTGTTACTATAAGTGGTAGTGATAAATTGCTTAAACTTAGCACCTGTTTCCATTGAAAATGGTCCTAAGAGATACCCACAATTATGTAGCTAAATAAGTAGAATCTAATTTACTTCGGTTTGAAAAAAATGGAAAGTAGCAAATAAGGAGATGAGATAAGATTGACTTCACATTTTGTTTTAACGTATCATTTGAAGAAAGCAATGCAAATTACAAGGAAAGTTTACTTTTATCCCTTAAATTATTAATATCATACAAATATTCAGTAGATAGTAGATAGTAGAATCAGTAGTAGATTTATTCAAAATCACGTGTTTCAGATATAGTGTTTACAATGCTTTGTTACAAAGTGACCAGCAAATAGTAATACTTTATATTGTACTAAAATTTTCACCAAGCTCCGATTAATTGGATTAACAATACTTCTAAATATGTCTATTTTCAAACTTCGTGAACTAACCTGGAAATTATTGAGACATATATTACTGATATATCACGTATTAAATTCATCTTATTCATCTAGTTTAAGAATGACTTGCAGTCAAAGTTTTGCTGTTGGCTACGCTTAATTGTTGATTAAAAGAATCAGTGACCCCAAAGAATTGTGCCCATAAACACTATTATGATTACTAAAAAACGATTCACGAAAAATAAGCTCGGTGCAATATTGTTTATACGTTGAACGAGGTACTTACGGACTGGTATTTTCTTCGGGTCGACGGTAAGGAGATGTTCCTCGACTTTATCCAGTCTCTGTCGTAGATTGCTGCTCCTATCAGCAACCGCAGTCAGCTCGGCGGTCAGTTCGGCGAATATGTCCTCTGCGATGGTGAGAAGTGACGCGAGTTGTTTCAAAGAAATGGTCAAGGCACCGTTTGCAACCGCCTCCAATTCGGCACTCACTGGCCAACCCTGCGGCGTCGAACCACCCGGCACGTGTCCGCGGCACAAGAAACGCGGCTCCACTCTTCGCAGCACGAACGGCATGATTTATCGGTGATCGAGGAACCGGCACATTCACACATAACACTAGAAACCGAGGCCTGAAACCGGCACTCCGTGCACCGCGTGCATAAATATCGTTACCAGATCAAGAGGCACGTTAAACGCCCGTTACCGCCAGCGATCCAACCGAGCGAGGGATTTCTGGCGGTCTCCAAGGATGAAAATCCCTCGGAGAAGTATCTCGGCTCCATTTCGTGAACCGAAATCAAACGCGGGATTTTATTTCTCTGTAGATACACTGCACTCTTTTCGACAACACAACACTGTTCCCCACTTGTGCTAAAACAACCTTAGGGTTAACGCGAATTTCTGTTACTCGGAAACTTTTGAAATGAAGAGGACCACGCGGTATGATCGACACGAGTTCCCGGAAAAAGTTTCGATTGACGTTGTCATACTGTCGAGGGATATAAGTTCGAGGAAAGGAACGCGACGAAAGAACACACGTCCGCGCGATACGACGACGGTACGCGAAGTGCCGGCCGGCCGGCCTCTCGCTTTCCTTCGGCTACACTCTCATTCATTTCGAATTGCCCCGCTTCGCAGCGCCATCTCGGTACGTTCTAATAAAACTACAGAGAACTCTGAGATATCGCCAGTGATTTAGGTTTTGATATATTGAGGTACGAGATAAATGTCTCAATTTCTATAACTTCTACTCACAATCAGCTAAGCATGATTACGTCTTTAACTGGACGTAAAAACTAATGTATAAGTCAATATTTATAGTGGAAAATATTTTCACTCGTGAAATATAATATATTTTCAATAAATCATGCAACAAATCATTTACAAGCAATTTTTCTTTTAAAGTAAAAGATTCAAGGACTGGAGTAGTCACGTGATTTTTGTAATATTTATCAATCATATTTTGACGTTTTCTATTCTGCTTTGTTGATAACCAGGCAAAAATAATACAAAATATGAGTTTACGGGACTACACTTTTCATCTTTATATGGGAAGATTTTGGGATCATCAAGTATCTCCTTGAAAAAGCGAAAGTTAAAACTAGCATGCTCTGGCCTTGATTTCGTTTAAAACAATCTTTTTGGATATAAAATAGCTTCTAAAAAGAGGCATTGTAACTATAATTTTTATGCATTTTAAGACGCTCATATTATTAAATATCAGTAAATTCTGATTAAATCATGACCTCACTACGCTAAATTTAACTTTCCTCTTTCCAAAGAGGTACCTGATGATCCAATAATTTTAAAGACGAAACAACTCAAAAGACAAAACATGTAGTCATAGTAAATCGTAGTTTCCGTAGTAAATCCATATTTTACACGGCTCTTATAATTAACATTGTCTTATCACGCCACTATTGGAATCTACCCTCATAAATATACATGTGTTTCTACTCATCGTCAGTTAAAACACGGTGTTTCTGTTTCTACCCATTCATACCTGTGTTTTTGCTCATGTCAGTCAAGAAGTCGTTACTCCATGTACTCCTACGCACAATCAGCCATGCCTTTATTTCTGTTAAGATCGTCAAGTAGTTATTTTATTGAAGGAAGAGTATAGAATATTAATAAACAACCATCGCCAATAATTATTCTGATTTTATTGATTCGCTTAAGGTTGCATAGGCTATATGTATAGTTAAACAATACTAGCATGTTGAATTTGTTATCATAGACTCTTATTACTATTAAGAAGCTACCAGTAAAATTTTAAATCAATACATGGCTTTTTTGAGAAATTATAGTGACTTAAAATTTGCATGTACTCTTATGGTAATCAGCAATAACCCAAAGAAAACTTCACTTTGATCTTGAAAATAACCCAGAAAAAACGGTGGTAAACTCTTGAAAAATGATCATATCGAAT